TCTGTTAAGATCTTATTATTACTAGGAGTACTACATATACTATGTTCACAGTAAAAATATGTTAACTGTCAAAAAGGTAAGTGACTGTTCTACATTAGTATTTTATAGAGGTGGTCACTTCAGAAACATCAGTCAGACAAAACCACATAAGGGATTTTCAAAGTGCATATCAAAATACTGTCCAGCTTGCTAGTTGGCATGGACATTTATATTTCCTTTAATTGGCTTTCAAAATTTAATGCTATTTTCTTGATCATCTGTGTCTGTGCAAAAGTAACACTATTGTATAGCACAACAGATAGAATCCCTTGTGGAAGGAGTATACTTTTGTTAAATTGTTCCTCTGTTTCTGCTTTCAACATAGCAGACCATGCATGAGGTGGGAATCTAGGTACAGCTTCACACAGAATCACAGAATGTTAGGGATTGGAAGGGACCTCAAAAGATCATCTAGTCCAATGCTTGCTGTGGAATAGAGCTGCCTCCTTACTGGAAAGAGCCCTGTCTCTAAGATAAGGCTAGATTTGGAACCAAAATTTATTTTAAAAGCATAATTATACACCTTCTCTAAAACAGACATGCTATTAAATGACAAGTTCTCTTTTTTTTTTTTTTGTTCTTTTATGAAAGCTGAATATACATAATTATATTTAAATAATCTGCTGATCGTGATACAACACTTAGCAGCCAAAGCCTGAGAGAGTTTTATTTGAAAATCTCTTATTCAATGCCATCATTAAGCATATATGGAGGAAGAGGGGGAGTAAATGTTGAAGGATCGTATCTCTTGGTGCAGGTTCGTCAAGAAAATGGCAGCTCTCCTATGCTAGCCAGCAACATATACTAAATCCCATAGACAAGCCAGGTGTCAAAATGCCTGTTTCTTACTCTGTCTTCCTTTTAAAATAATAAATACCAATTAGTGAAGATACTTTAAATGTGTTTGGGCCTCTCTTAGGTAGCTAGTCCCTTCAACAAGCTGAATTCGACAACCCTAGGTCCTTCTAGCCCATAAACTGTGTAGACATTGATTTTTAATTTACGCTGGTATGCCACATAATTTCTGTACTTTCACTTCCAAACAATGGCACTGTGTGACACTTGGTTTCACTGAATGGTTATGGAATGCAGTCAAATTGGGGTTTCATTTGTGAAGCCATCGCTAACTTTTTAGGTTTTTTTTAAACTTCTTTCAATAAAACCAAAGGACGTAGAAGAAGGAAAACAATTGTAGAAATTTGATAGTTACCTTCAGAAACTTGGGGGATAAGATTTGTTATATATAGCATGGAAATAGAAAATTTAACACAGAAACTGGATTGTGGAGATCAAGGAGTATTCCAGGAACTTTCTGAAAACACAAATACTGATTCTTCCTGTTGTTGTCATTCTTGTTTATTCCTCCTGCACTCTCTGGATACTAATTCTACTCCTTAGGGTGCTTACTTGTAAAACTTCTTCATTTGCATAGGATATAGAAGTAGGCCTTTTGCAGATGTAGCAGTATGTGTTATCCAGAATATTCATTAATAATACAGAGATGTCTTGTTGCACTGGCTAAAATCCAAGATAGCAACTATGCCTATCTACCTTCCTCATCCTCCATAATTCTTTAAGTGCTTTCGACTAATTTTCAGCACAATTTTATTTGGGAGGAAATAGCTGGGAGGGGAAAGAGGCAAAAGTCTAAGATACCCACATTTCTAGAAGTTTTATGAAAATAAGAAACTGAGGAAAGGAAAGATGCTGTATTAAAATCCCCAAGGCTAACCCGTTATCAGGCAAAGTGACTATACATGGGGGGAAATACAAAGCACAGCTGGCAGAGACTTCAGATGGGATAGTACCTTATCAGTTACCAAGGAATCCAATCCTGAGACAGCAGGTTTCATTAGTCCTTAAGCTCATGGAACTGCTTTATTTAATTTGCTGGTTCAGTTGACAGAAGCAGTGAGATTTGCAGCCTTCTTTTTTCAATTCAATACTATGTAGCAGAGTACTGGTTTTGCAACTTAAAAAAAAATAAATTTAAAAAAAATTAATTACTAGAACTAGCGTGACTGTGACCACAATCTTTAATGCAGGAATATCTGTTAGTGTAATTAGTTAGGAAATTCAAATTATGTTTCACAGAACTATTAGCAAATTCCAATCCTTCCACAGAAACTAAAGGAAAAAAAGGTTTTTTGGAGTGAATGGTAATTCCTTAATGACTGGTTCAGTGGATAATTACAGACTGCTGGGCATTGAGCCATTCATTGGAAGGGGAGCTCTCGGGTGATGTCAGTGGAGTTCCATATTTATGCAGTCATGTCTCAAGATAATGCCAATACAAAACAGAATGGTGTTTGACATTTAGGAGAAGATGCAGACAGGATAACTTGGAAGTGCTAATAAATGTATGTTTGGTAACATTCTTTTTTGATGAGAATGTTGTTAGTAATGCCATATTGAGCCTATAGAAAATGAAGGTTTAAAATAAAGTTCTCCACAAGCACATTTTCCTGTGGCTCTATAGCTTGTTTCATAGCTAAAATAAAATAAGCTCGAGATTTCCCTCAATGTTCTCCATGTTTTATGGAATGTTTCAAGAAGATTATAATCTTGCAGAAGAGTATTCTGTGGAGTGCAGTTTGTACAGTCCAGGAATTGTTCATGGAGTGCAACATTGCTCATTTTGCCATCCTTACAGCCCTATAGCTAGTTCCACCTTAGTCATAGTCTTCTCTGCTTATTCTGTTCCTGTTGCACTGATATGCAGCTTCCAAAGTAGCAAAAGAATATTCTTCTCTATGGTGTTTTTTCTACACTAAAATGAAATTAATATCTTGGCAGGAGTGATAGCTACAATGACTTTGGACTGGTGCTATGCTAATGACAGAAGCCAAGCCTGTACATTGATTACTTGCAGGTTTTGCACTTCCTTTTCTACAGGCCAGTTGCAATAAAAGGCATGAACAAATGTAACTTACGTAAGTTTCACTTAAAATCTTTTATCTTCTGTTCTTAGCTGGATTATATTCTTCAGTGAACAGGTCAGATAAGTCTGAAAACTTGTGCTATTTTTTCACCTTATCACAACTGCCCTCACTTTCCCTTCACCTCTGCAAGTTATATGCTTCATTACTACATGGTTGATACATTTGACATTGAGATGTTTGCACCTTGTCAAAGAACAAATGGTAGATTTCTCATTTGCTTCAATATTCTTTCAGTGTTTCAAGAAGAGGACATTTCATGGGAAGAAATGCACATGCTTTCATACTCACAAGAGCATTTGTTAATTGAGAGGCACTGCACTATATGTGTCAGGCAGGCTTTCAGTCAATGCTGACCTCTTTCCATTCCCTGTTTTTTTGTTGCTAGGTTTTGTGGGTTGTTTTGGGGGTTTTTTTGTTGTTGTTTGGGTTTACTTTGAGGTTTGGTTTGGGGTTTTTTTAAAGTAGTTTCTTGTTCCATAGTGGTTGTTGATAGGAGTAAAATTATCCTGTCAGCCGTTCAGCATTTGGTGTGGGACACAAAAGCTTGATACAAATTAACTTATTTTTAAGTCAGTCTTGCAATGATACTTGATAGACTAAATAAAAGATGGTGCAGAACCCTTGGCTTCTCAAATGCATACAGCTGACTGAGAAGTTGGGGAGGTGAGGACTAGAATGAAGATGAAGAATGGACAGGATTTGTGAAGTTACTCAGAGTTGAGGGTGTAGAGGGGTTAGCTGTTGTCGTTTATGTATCTAATTTTAAAATAAAAAATGTTTATATAATGAGGGTTTTCTCTTTTTTTTTTTTTTTTTTTTTAAGAGAAAGGTGAATCTTTTGCTGCTGTTTGTGATGACTTCAGGGGCTTCAGTGTCTAGCAACTGCAGTAGGAACTGATTAAAAAGATTTGGATACTCTATGCAAATGTAAAATTTCAGCTCCTTTAGTAATAATAACTAAAGCTTCTCAGTACATGCAACTGGGCAGTGTTGCCCTTATGGCAATGTCCTCTCTCAGCACTATGCAAAACCACAGAAATACTGCATAGAAGTGAAGGAAGCATACAACTGAGGGGATGCTTGTTTTGTTTAGTGGTGGGCTGGGTTTTTTTTTTGGAGTACTGCTCTAGCAATAAGCTTCCCTGATTCCCCTACTACATCCAAACATAAAACGTGAGGGAAGATACATTTGAAGCGTGGTAGCCTAGCTTTTTGCAGAAGAACTTAGTACAAATGCAGATACAGCAGATACTCCAGCAGGGATGCAAATCTTTCTCATACTGAGGTTGAAACAGGAGTTTCCTTGTATCTTTGGCAGATCTTGCATTAATTCACATCATCATATAAAACCATAAGAAATAATTATTTCTGAAAGAAGTTCATAGTTTATATCTAGCTTGCTTTGCTAGCATGTCTCCACTCATTTCAGTGACTTTATGGTAATGCATTCACTTTGGTGCAGCTACCACACCAAAATAAGTTAGTTGGGTCTGAAGAGGTCTAGATACAATGCCAAAATTAATCATACTAACAGAAAGGAAAATGCACAAAACATAGCTGTGCCTGTGTATAAGCACAGTGTTCTGCATGCAGAAGCGTTATCGATTTGTACTTTCTTACTCCTTACACTCTGCATTTTGCACAGAAAATAACTTTCTTCCACCCCCTACCTACCTCCTACTTCCTAGCTAATATTAAAAGCAGAGACAGCTCTATAAAGAAATTATGTTGCTGAGGTCATTGCTTTTATAAAGTACTCACTATCACTTTATAAAGTATGAAAAATGAAGTTGTTTAAAATACTGTTGAATACAGATTGCATAAAATGCACCCACTTTTTTGCTTTTTACACTCTTTATTCTCTAATTTATCAAAATTTTGAAATTGAGACATCATCTTTTGCTGCTTACTACTTAGCCAGTCTGCTCCACAATGAGACCCCCTCTAGTTCTTCTATTCCCATTCCATAATGTCATCTGTTTTCCTGGTGTTCTAAGCATTATACTTTTTTCCTCCCATACAGGTACTGCTATGTGGATATTTGTTAGCAATGACTGATGTGGAATCTACATATGCAGACTTTATTGCTTCAGGAAGAACAGGTAGAAGAAATGCGTTACATGACATACTTGTGTCTTCTCCGGGTGGGAATTCTAGTGAACTAGCCTTGAAGTTATCAGAGCTTGATATAAACAAAGCAGGTGAGTCCATTTTCATCTTTTTATTATATTTATTTAAAACTAAAATGAAAAGAGTAGTACAAAACACATGGTTTATTGTGCATGCATTATTCCCTTGTCTGTCAGCAACAAAAATATTGTTTTTCTGATAATGCAAGATCAGCAGAGGCTCCCTGCAATAAGAAGGCCAGATTTCATAAATGAAAAAGGTGGTTATTTGCAAGTACAACATATTACTGAAAAAAGAAAAGTCATTCTGCAATGAGTGCCTGGTGGCAGGGTCCATGTTAGGATAAATTTTATGGAAAATTGAATATGAGGGAAGAAAAAAAATAAATCTTTATTAAAACCCAATTCTTCATAATATCCTTTAATGGAAACTGTTTTGTTTGAAACCTGTAGGAAAAGCATGTATCTGTTTGAAAGGTTATTTTGGAGATCAGTTTTGTTTTCAGCTGCCAGAGGACAAAACAAAAGCAGTGCATTGTTGATTGTTTTACTTGGATCTTTGTTTTCTGCTGATACTTTTTCCTTCTTTTAAGGTGATCGGCACTAATGCAATCCTAAATCTTACTTCACCTCTAAAATTACCAAAATCTTATCTGGTTTTGTACTTCTGGTTGAGAGGAAGGAGGGACAGTGTATGGTGAAGGGCCTTACATTAAATAAAACTAGTAGTACTCTGTGTAATTATTTTCATGTTACATGGGTGGGGGTTAATGAATTTTAAAGCCCTTTTCAGTTCTTAGGAAAGAAGTCTTATGCTTATTCTAGTAACAGCCAAAGAACACAAATACAGCAAAGAACAAACTGTTGATAAGCAGCTGCCCTGTTTGTACATGTATTTTTCTCAGAAACAATGGCAAGAGTTCTGAGAGACAGCCTCATCACTGGACAATCAGATGTGGGCAGTGTAACATTTGGGTGGCTGTATTGCTGTTTGGAGGGAGAGATTCTTTTTTTGGCTTCCAGACTTATGTACATCCTAAGTCATTCCTTCTGCAGTTGCCAGTTTGGTGCCTATAGCTTCTAGATGAATGCAATTCTAGCTGGGCAGGGCCTTTAATTTTTTTTTTTTCTATTTAAAAAGAAAAGCTTTATTAGTATGTGTGTAGGTGTGTCTATTTATTTTAATGTGGGCATACGTGTAATAAGTTGGAAAAATATAAAGTAGGTGGCATTTGAAATGCATAATGCCAACCTTCCTTCTTGTTTTAATTTTCTTCAGTCTCAAATTTACACTTATCAAAATTGTCTTTGATCTTGTCCATTTAGAAGACATAAACAATTTATATTTTTAACTTAAGCTGTTGAAGTGATTGTAAGCCAGAACTGTGTTCTTTTGTGAGCTATGAAAAGAATGTGACTTCGTGCCTGTAATATATGTTAGTATACATTCTGTACGTGCAGTCAGCTCTGTAGTGATGGGAATGGTTTAAATAACTGTTAGCCTAATTTTTAATGCATAATTCAGGAGTTTAGTTCCTCTTGGAGACCTCTTTTGTAGCTTGAGTAATTTAATCATTGCAGAAAAGTGTACAGAGTCGCTAATAAAACTGCCTTAGGTAGTAGATACATAAAAATGTTTGCATACTTCTTCAGGAGGTTATGCAGTTCAAACTAGATACAAGGAAAATATATTTAAATTTTGTATTATTAGTACACCTAGGTGCCAGATAAAAGCCTCCAAACCACAAATACTGGAAAATGCATTGTATTATCATTAGTGTCAGTATTAGCATATTATCCCATCGTGTCTTTCCAAACCAAAGAGAGGCTAAAAAATACTTTGTATTCCAAATTCCATTTCAAAATACACTAGTACTTGCAGGATGCATATATGCATCACACCTCTCAGAATTAAGAGGAAAACACATGTTTGAGGGCTATAGCTTATTTCTTTCAAGGTGCCATGTCAAACATTTTATGCTAAGTAATACCTAATTATATAAATATAGATATTAAGTTTTGATTTTTTTTCTTTTATTCTTATTACAGCTATATGCATTTTCTTGCAAAAATGCAAGTACATTTGCTTTCAACTGCATGGGGTAATAGCAGCATAGGGTAATATAGATTTTAAAAAAGGTTATTATAAAACATATGTAAATTAAGCTGCCCAAATATATTTAGTACATTCACTTTTGCAGATAAATTTCCTGTAAAGAACAGGAACAGCTTTGAACAGCACTAGGTAGTAAGCACCATTAAAGGTCCCTTCCAACCCAAACCATCTTATGGTTCTATAATTATGTATAATACACATAATTACTGTATAATACTCTCCCTTCAAAACAACAGTTCTAGTGTTCTTTGTCCATTATAAACTAAGAACCTGCTGATATCTGTGCAATTGACATATTTACCAAACTTCAAAAATAGAGGTTACAAGTACTCTGTGGCAGTGCATTTTATCTAAATTTAGTAAAAGCAACAGTGTGTACATCTCATGAGTAGAAAACTGCAACAGAAATTGTGAGACAAAGTAAAAGAAAGATTTTTAGTAGGGAAATCAGCAGGTAGCTCACCTGCTTAACTCTCTCAAGGTAACCAGTGCAATTCCAAGAGACATTATATTCGGTTCATCTTACAGGTGATTGTAGCTAAATAAAGTAGTAAGGAAAAAGTACAGTGAACAACGAGGACCAGTCTCTGCAAGTCTAATCTCTGAAACAAACTGCTGGTTTTCTAGGCATTTGCAGATATGCCACAGAACACAGATTCAGTGCAGAAGTGGAAAGAAGACTTCTTTGTAAAAGTTTTAACAGTCCAGCCATCTACATTAAAGTAATACAGAACTGGAATGAAGGACTGATTGTAGAAAGTTATGATTAAAAGTGATTTCAGTTAATGGTAAAAATGTTTTAGATGTACACATTGGGAACACTGATAAAAACTCAATAGTTGATAATGTTGTGAGGAGAAAAATGAGTTAAAAGCTGCACATTAGCAGAACTAGTTATTGTTCCTAGTTTACCAACTCACACAACTATATTATGGCTTACAGTATCACATTATTTGGTTTGGGGTTTTTTAATACTGCCTGTTGGTTTCAAAATGCTGTGTAAGAATTGCAACTCTTACTGTTAAGAGCTTATAGCCATCATAGTTTTGAAGGCAGAATAGTTCAAGAGTGTGCTTAGGCAATTTGGGGATTTTCAGAACCTAGAAGCAAAATTATTTCTGTAAACATATTTTAAAGCCTTTGGTAGGAGTGCTCTGCCAGCAGAAAGACAAAGTGTGTAGTACCAAGACGGTGTATGACAGATCAAATGGATTTAGACTAGGGAGTTTTTTCAGTGAGTTGAGAAAATCTTTTAAGTGGTATTTTAGAACCTTAGTGCTCTTTCTCTGAATCTTTGTGCACTATGTTTAACATTTAGGTAGTGAAATGTTTGGTCTTCATGTCTTCATATGCAGGATGACTTTTCTTTTAAACAAAAATACCTTGGGAGGTTTTTTCTCTCTTCAGTTTTGTCCTTTTTTTGTCTTGTTTGTTTGTTTTAATAAGAATTCTTTCAGGAAAGCTTGATGTGCCCCAGTAGTATGAGGGATATTAAAGTCTTCCTAGTAGTCAGAATGAACAGAGTACAGAGCAGGCAAAAAAGGAATAAAAAAAAAATCAGGTTCCACTAATCTGGACTTTTGCGGTATCAGAACAAATGTAGGAGGAGGCTTTGTAGAAAGTGTTTGGACAACTTGGGCAAAAGGGATTTCTGTCCAATAGGAAATAATTGCATGTAGATCCATCCTGATGGAATCCTTTGTAATTGGGAGATAAAACTGAGAAATAAAGTTTTCTTGAGAAAGTGCAAAACAAATTTTTATTCATTACTCCACCCATAATAAACAGAACAAACCTCAAAGGTTAACTAGCCTTCCATACAGCTTTTCATGGGGTTGAATGTTATAATTGCCAATACCCTCTGAGGCATTTTGCTGCCTAAATATCTCTGTGCATGTACAAAACACAGCTATCACATCTGAGCTTTTTGCTCTGTTCTTTGCAATGCAGAGAACTTTTTTTCCATTAGCAATGTGCCATTCTTCTATATAGAAAAGAGAAGGTGTTTATGGTGCTTATTTCTATAAACAGAAATAAAGCTGCAGATGTACAGTGTGATTTGAAATGGGGAAACAATAAATATCTGTATTGAGAACCCTGCCTTTATTCTTAAGATCTATAGATTAAATTTAAAAGGCACTACTACCTCTACTTAGACCTCTTTACAACTTAGTCCATGGAATTTTCTTAACTACTTTATCAAGCCGGTTCAATACAAATTACTCATAATACTTGCCAAATACAAGAGACCATGTCTTAACATTATTTCTTATCTAACATTGTTCCTTATTATGTACCTATAGCAAATTAGTCCAGTGCTCAGGGACTTCTGTCTTACTTGCTCTTAGCTTCCAGCTGTCTGAACCTGTTAGGTCTTTAATTGTCAGGTGAAATACCATACTTTGCATATAGCAACTAACAGACCATTGTCAATGCACGTAGCATTCTTTAGACAGACTTTGAGTTGTCTGCTCACAGCGCCACTGTAAGATGTTTTCTGCTTGTCAGATCATTCTGTGATTTGCAGTGAGACAGCTGGACTGAACGCCGTGGGGTGTGGTACTGAAAATGGACACACAGAACAAACACAGCTTTAACAACTATTGCTTTTCTTCAAGTTCCATGTCTTTATTGTGAACTCTGTTCATACTTGGTGTAAAGAGGGTTTTTAAATTTTATGTTGTGGTAGTATAATAGTGAATAAGTTGTCAAAAATACCCTACTATTTTTGTTAAATTCTTTCATTTCTAGATATTTTAGGTCTATAATTAAAATGATAATAGTGGTTGCAGCTAGGAATTTGTTTTTGAAGATGTCTCTTAAGATACAAAGTATGGCTATCTTAGTACTAAAAGGTTTCATATTTAACACAAGATTTCAGTTTAAATTTCTTTTTACTTCGTTTTTGAGACTGGAGCAAGACCTCTTTGTTTTGTGGTGGATCACTCATCCTTTTCTTGTATGTTATAGAAGGAGAAGGAGATGCACAACGAAATCCAAGTGAGCAAACCGGGGAGGCCCAAGGGGAGGCAGCAAAGCAAGAAAGCTGACATCCAACTTTGACCGACTGGAGCAGCTGCTGGATGTTTTCAGACTACAAGAGCATGCTGGAACAAATCTGTTTCCATGAGCAAGCTGGTGAAAAAGAAAGTGCATGTGTCTTCACTGCTGAAACCCACTCAGCACAATGCTAAAAATGGGGGTACAAGCTGTGGCAGAAGACAGAATTTTCTCTACCTCTGTCATTAGCAATGGTTGAACATGTATTGATTTTTTGGGATAGTGTCATCAGATGGATCCCTTCATAATGACTACTTGATGAGAACAATTTTAGGAAGTAGAACAGGTAAATCTTGTAGCAAATGGCCTTTGAAACATCAGAGGATCTAATTGTCTATCTTAAGCAAAGGCTTGTGTGATCCTCAGAGTTTAAAATTCTCTGGCCAAAGTGTTCACCCATTAAAAGAACTGTAAAGAAAGCACTGTTTTTAGAACTTTGCGTCTGTTCTACAGCTCTGTTATTTACAATGTTTTTTGTATTGTACAACTTAAATGCTCCACACTGCCCCTTCTCAACTGCTTATGAAGAATATTTCTGTTACTGTGAATTTTTCTACCACGCGTTTTGAAAGGGCTGGTTTTTTGCATAATGTGGTGATGTGCACATGATAGATTTAAAACGTCAACCGCTAAATTGATTATGCCTAAACCTAAATGAGTCAGCAACACTCTAATTTGTTACTAGATAAGCCTTCAAAACGATTTGTTAATGTGAATACTTCAGCGTGTTTTGTGTCCTTGGTACAGTTTTGCCACTTGCCTGTAGTTAGTTGCATATCAGAGACTCAAATCGAATCTTTTATGTTATTCTTCCCCATTTTTCTAATTTTACTCCCAATTTCTTAAGCTTTCTCCAAGATATTTTTTTTAAAATGTTAGTCCAAGTATTTTATTGTTATGGTAGTTTTAAGAATACATTTGTGACCTTATATGAGTTTAAATTCAAACAAATTCCATGGTGCTAGAGATTTTCCTGGTTCGCATTGTTAAAGATAGGCCTTGTTTACACACAGGAGAATAACTGGCATAGGTTATTGCCAATTATATAATCTGGAATGAGTTTTAGATTGCAGGATAGTCCAACTGGTGGATCATGGGCTGGATCCAGCCAGGGGACTATTTTTTCTATTCCTTGCCTTTGCCTCAGTTGATCAGGCTGTTGAGTTTGCACAGCCAGTAGCCTGTTACTGATGCACCGGTCACAGCCAAGTGCTAGAAAAGCTGGTACAGCAGCCTTTTGGCCAGGTTGCAGAGAGGGAAGTGAGAGACTTGGCATCTAGCACCTGAAAGACTAATTTATTTTTTTTCCCATTTCAGCTATTCCAAAATGACAGTCCAAACTGGACCTTCATTGAAATACCAGGATAGCTTGTCCATCCAGGGGATTGCTTAAAATATCTACAAATTAATAACCTATTTTTCAGTAGCTATGCTGGTTGATTCCTTCCCCCCCCCATCCCACCCCAACAGACAAGGTCATATATGAGGCTGAATGCTGCAAAATGGTGCAGCCACACCTCTGTGTGACTAAGGTGAGTCAAGAGAGTGACTGACTAGTCAACCATGGCAATCACATAAACACCAATCACAAAGTCAGAAGATTTGTTTTCTTTTATTAACAGGAGGTGATGTCACTTTCTTTATATATAGTATATATAATATATATATTTTTGTGTTGTTGTTGGTTTCAAATGTTATGCACTTTTTAATGTTTGTAAACTTTTACTAATGAATAGTGTGATTGCTTCCTGAATATATTAATCATCAGTTAGCAAAACATCTTTGTGGCCACAGCTATTTGTTTCTACCATATGTATCATAGTACTTGTCACCTGAAATTCTTTTGTGAGATGTGTGGAGAAAAAAAAAACAAACAAACCACTTCTGATCAGTATTATGAGCTCATTTATTAGTGTTAATAAAAAACAAGCCAGCGGTATGCTTGTGGCTCCTTAGTGTAATATTAACTCTCACCTTTAACTTTTTGGAAGCTGGATGCTCACTGTCTTATTAGTTGTCAAATGCCCTATCTTCTTGGTAACAGTAGTAGTCCATTTGCTTTGGAAATACTATTACCCTTAAACTAATTTATTCATTTGTTTCACTTAATGTTCCTTTCAAAGTTAACACATTATTGATTTTTTTTTTTTTTTTTTTTAATTATTTACCCCCTCCTTGCTCTTGCATCAGGTCTTCAAGCTTAACTAGTTGCCCCTTTATCATGGACTAGTTACTGTCAATCTAGCACAAACACCAGAAGGAATAAGATTCTGGGGCTTTTTGTAGTGTTACTTTATTGATGATCCATGAAACATCATCAATAAAATGTCGTGGAAAAAGGCAATAGCGAAATAAGTAATTACAGTACATTAAAGTGTTGGTTTTCCTTATTTTCCTTCAGTGCTTTTCTTTATTTCAATACACTTTCCTTCTTAATTCTTCTGTGTTGTGAAATAAAATCATTTCAGCCTTCCCTTTCTATTTTGTACCTGTTTCTTCTATTTCTCTCCTTGTTTTCTTTTGCTTTTAAAATAACTATGGAGGCCTTTGCTGTTTTTTGAAACACATTTATTTGTGATGGAAAATAGTGCTGTTAAGTTTAGTAAAGTAAAAGGCTGTTTATGTTCCTCATCCCTCAAAAGTGTATGAGTGCTTGCTTTATCACTTGAACTTTGCTCTCTCTTTATTTGGCGTATTTCTGTATCATCTGTAAGCAGGCCTTACTTTATGTGAACATCTGGTTAGTCTGTGCAAAATCACAGTACTGTTTCTTGAGTACTATTATTACCTAAGCAATTACAGAAGAGTTAATTCAGATATAGTCACACCTTTATTTCTGTGTAATTGCATCATATAACAAGGACACTGATAGAATCAGATTTTAATTGTGTTATTTTTCCCTTTGCTAGTTACCTTTTTCAGTAAGCCTGCTGCTCTTGCATCTTTCCAGTATCTTCTTTATATATTATTGTTCTCATGATAGATAAAATGTTTAAATGTTTGATCAAGGTTTATCTTAGAGAAATCTCTCCAAAAGCTATATAAACTCAACAAAGTTAGGTCTGAACTATCAGCTTAAGAGAATACTCCTTAAAGTTTTGGTTTTGGTGGAATTTTTTTTTTTGTGGTTGTGAGAGGGTTTTGTTTGTTTTAGTAATATGTTTTCAGTGCTTTCTTCACCCTGCCAGCCCCATCACTTCAAAAAATAGTCTCTGTACTCATGTTCTTGTTGCCCATAATAAAGTCTATGACTATGTTGGCAAGCTTTGCACTTGCAGGGTTTAGATTCTCCATTCACTTGAAACACAAAGAATACAGAACTAGAACTGGACAGAGATATTGGCGTTTCTTTCTTCTGCTTATTTCCAATAATGTTGTCCATGTGCTTCAAAAAGTTTCTATTAAAAGACAGCAACAAGCATGCACATACCATTCTTTTATCAAACTATAATTTTAAGCTAAAAGTTCACTATGACCTTCCATACAACTACTAAAAGACTATTAAAAAAGTCAGTATACCTGTTACTCATCCCTGCTATTTCACCTGCTGTGTTTTTTCCACAATTTTAAAGTAGGAAAAAGTGTATCCTGGTATGAGTGGCAGGTCCTGAAGAGTCAGATTTCATGCAAATGGTAATGAAATTAAGCTAGAACTTCTATAGTATGAATGCCTTCCTCAGCTAAACAATGAAGCATTCCAGGTGTGCTTAATGTTTATATTTTGTGTTTCAGAAACATCTTTTTTTTTTTTTTTTTTTTTTTTTTTTTACAAAGGAAGGACTGAGAGCTGCTGTTGAAACTGAGCACAATAATGTAACATCAAATTTGATAAAATTTACCTTGCCTCAGCAATATTCCTGTTAAACTATTGTATTTTTGCCCTGACTTTTTCTTTGTTTTGCTCTGCCTCTCTTCCTGGCTGGTTTATTTTCTGTCCTGTGCTTCCTTCATGTAAAATAATGCCCTAGAAATACATGGATATGGAGTGCTGTATTGGATTTTCTGTATATTTGACTAAAGTCTTGCAGTAGAAAGGTTGTTTCTCTTCATCTTTTTTATCAAGGCACAAAGGGGAATCTGCCTCAAAGTTCTCAGCACGAGAGAAGCAACAAAGCCAGAAAGGAAGTCCGAGTTCAAGAAGGTAGGGCAGCAATATAAGGAGGATATCTTCTCTTAATAGTAAGGCAGATATAGCCCAATGCAGAAAATACCTTCGTCCAGCATATGATGGACAGTCAGAATGTGTTGATCTTAGCCTGAGAGATAAATTGTTCAACTTGGGTGATATTTTGACTTTAGAACCAATGTGAGCCAACAGTGTGCCCTGGCTGCCAAGAGGGACAACCATGTCCTGGAGTGCATCAAGCACTGCATCGCAAGCCGGTCAAGGGAGGTGATTGTCCCGCTCTACTCTGCACTAGTGCAGCCTCACCCTGAGTACTGGGTGCAGTTTTGGGCACCACAGTATAAAAAGGGTATAAAGCTACTAGAGAGTGTCCAGAGGAGGGTCACAAAATTGGTGAATGGCTTAGAGGGGAAGCCGTATGAGGAGAGGCTGAAGTCACTTGGTTTATTCAACCTGGAGAAAAGGAGACTGAGAGGAGATCTCATTGCAGTCTAGAACTTCCTCCCAGGGGGAAGAGGAGGGGCAGGTGCTGATCTCTTCTCTCTGGTGACCAGTGATAGGACCAGGGGAGATGGCAGGAAGATGTGCCAGGGCAAGTTTCAGTTGGATATTAGGAAAAGGCTCTTCACCCAGAGGGTGGTGGAGCACTGGAACAGGCTCCCGAGGGAGGTAGTCAGGGCACCAAGCCTGACAACATTCAAGAAGCATTTGGACAGCACCCTCAGACACATGGTCTGAATCTTGTAATTGTCCTATGGTGGGGCAAGAGTTGGACTTGATTATCTTTGTGGGTCCCTTCCAACTGACAACATTCTATGATTCAGGTTTTCAGCAGTGCTCTAGAACAGAAGCATGCATAAATCTGCGGCCCTTAACCTTGAGACAAATGAGAATCACCAGGTTCTAATGAAAGAATGAGAGATTTCTTAGATAACTTAGAATACAGGATACTCCCTGAAAAGCAGAAACATTTAATAGCTAGGAAAATTATATAAATTAAGGTAGTAGCAGGAACCTTTTACTGTTCTCTGCCGGCTCAGGATGAACTCTGTTCTTTCCTGCTTTTTTGTCACAATCGGGGATACTATACTGAATGCAAGAGAAGGACAGAGATCATAGGGTCATAGAATGGTTTGGATTGGAAGGGACCTTTCAAGGTCATCTAGTCCAACCCCCCCACAGTAAGCAGGGACATCTTCAACTAGATGGCTCAGAGCCCTGTCCAGTCTGACCTTGAGTGTTTCCAGTGATTTGGCTTCTACCACCTCTCTGGGCAACCTGTTCCAGTGTTTCACCACACTCATTGCAAAAAATTTCCTCCTTATATCTAGTCTAAATCTACCCTCTTTTAACTTCAAAGCATTACCCCTTGTCCTATTGCTGCAGGCCTTATTAAAAAGTTAGCCCACATCATTCTTATAGGTGAGATGATCAATATGGATGTTTATAACATTTCCACTGATATTTTATTTAGGCAATATACTGCTAATATCTGAGAGAAAATAATGGTCAAACAATGGTCTGGACTGACAGGGTAGCAAATCAGTTCCTCTTGTATGTGGCTAATAAATCTAATTGTGAGTTGACAAAATATGAACACATCTTAAAAGAAGTGCGTAAAGCTAAACACAAATATAGTGCGCAAGAAGCATCCCCATCTTCTGAAAGCAGCAAGGACTTCACGTTCTACCCTTTTACATAGATTCTTACATTACGGCTTGGAGCTGCTGACATTTCAGGATGGAGGGCAGGACAGCCTTACCAACTCATGACATGTGCGTACAAATGATCTCTTGGTATTTCCGAGCAACACATTATGCTTCAGTACGCTGAGATCAAGTGTTTATAAAAAGACCAATGCTGGTGATGACTTGCTTATGAGTTCTTAAATAAGGTTTTAGCAAATTAGCCATTGGTATACTTTTTCAGTCCTATTCGCTATCAAGTAATTCTCTGGTGCTGATCCATGACTGTAGTGTAACAGGTGATTGATTACCTGATACAGGCAGATCCTCTTGAGTGCTCCCATTGAGATAAAAATGTTTGCAAAAAATCCACACTACCTTCCTGCACTAGCAAGGACAGATGATACGTGTTTTGTATTTTTTAAATAAACCTATTATATCTATGGTTAATCAGTTAATGCTTAAATCTACTTCCACAAAAAACAAACAAACAAACAAAAAAAAAACTTCTGATCCTGAAAAATTAATCACTTCTAAACATACAAAAGGATTTAACATGTAATTTTAAAAAGTAACTCAGCAGTAATTTATAGGAAATGGTGACATACCGCCTTAGAGATGGATGGGAGATATTTGTAGGGAGATCAGATCTTGAGCAGCTCTGCAAACCACTATCAGGAGATTAACACTACCTGTTGTTCAGTCAGTTCTAGTGTGGCCCAAACAATCCAGGTGTTAGCAGGTGAGTTGATTTATTCTGCATGTGTTTTGTTGTATTAGCATGTAAATTAAGTCTCATTGTGTTCATCAAATATAGGTATTACGAACAGATACACAGAAGCAGTTTTTAAGTATGAAAACAAAAATATGGCTTCCAAGTCAGCGAAGGAGAAAACAAGATTTATTTTTTTTTTTCTTACCATGTAGCATGCTATATGGTAAAAAAGATCTGTTTAATTACTAGTATGCTTCTGTTTGTATGTCCCTTTTTCCCACTAAAAAAAGAACAACATAGGTGTGATTGTGTGAAGAAATTCAGTATTGCGATGTGCAAATCAGCAAAAACATGCATTTCTCTCAATATATTGAGTTCTGTTATTATTTGGGACCTCAAATAGCAAGTATTTAGCCAATGTATTAGCCATATCTTTGATGTGGGAATGTTTCATCATTCATTTGCAGTGGAGTTTCACTGTGTTTCCTACTAGTTCAGTCAACTCACTTGCCTGTAAAATGTTTTCTGCTGTCCACATTCTTTTCAGTGCAGTGATTTATCTGCCTATTGATGTAAGAACATGTACTGCAAAAGTTAAAAACTCATGTACAGTAATGATATCTATCTGCCACTTTAATTTTTCTCTTTAGCAATAGAACAGGAGATATAGAAGTCATTGGGGTCAGGAACTACTCCGAAACAACCTAGGACTGCCGTCACCGGTGGGAATCCGATAACCATACGTGGTTCTTTGCCATAACCCATACAACATGCTATCGGATTTGGAAATCTTTTTCAGGCTAATGATTTCTTCTTAACACAGATGGCACGCACTTTATCAAAACACACACTGATTGCAAGATGCAACAGAAAGCAGACATAGTCAGTCTGACTGTGCAGCTATGAAACACAAAGTGTGCACATTGCCCTGCACATTGCCCTCCCTCACAGAC